AAAACAAAACAAAAACAACACCTTAAAGTTTGTGGGATGGAGTGAAAGCAAGGTGCAGAAAAGAAGAAAGGAATAAAGTGAATCATGTATATTTCCATGTGAAGAAACTAGATAAAAAGGAGCAAGAGAAATCCAAAGTTGATTGTTTAAAAAAAATGAACAAAATTGATACACTCCCAGCAAAACTTGTCAAGGGTGGTGGTGAGGAATCTACCTTTATCAGGAATTGAAGTGTGGACATACTACAGGTCTTATAGAGGCCTTTTCCTGGTGCCCCCACCCAGGATAACCAGGACTGTCAGCCACTTCTGAGACGTAGTCTGGCCAGGCCTGGCCTCGTGGCCTATTCCCCTGCACTTGCAGAGGGAGCAGTTAGCCTTCTTGACTGACAGCCAGTGCTGTGCAGTCTCTGGTAACATGCCTGGAGTGGCATTCCAGGGGGCCCTCCAAGTTGGGGGCCTGTTGACTGCTATGCCACTGGCCTCCTGTGTACATGGAGAGCCAGGCCCACCAAGGTCTGTTGTCCCCTCCCCCCACGACAGCTTGGCCCGACCCCTTTTAGGAAAGGGGTTCCTCTCTTGCTGTGCTCATAGGCAGACAGAGAAGGCTGACCCTGAGGGACACAGAGCCACTGCTGTTTTCAGAAGAATGGAGGCCTGAGGACTTCCTGGAGGAAGTGACATGTAAGCCAAACCAGCAGAGTCAGGGAAGTGGGGCAAGGGCAGGGCATGGGGCCTGACAGGCAGAAGGAAGGCACAGCCAGCTTGAACTTTGTCCTCAGGGCTGAGGGAGCCTTGGAGGGACTTTCCGCAGGGACACGGCATGGCTAGCTCAGTGACCATGGAATGCTACTCTCTGGGAAGAGGGGAGGGTGAGTGAACTGGGAGAGACTGGGACAGGGAGCACAGAGAAGAGGCTGTGCCAGGTCCAGGGTCTGAGCCAGGCCTCAGCTCCAGTACTGCCCCACCTGCCCCATTACTCTCACCTGCAGGGAAGGAGGTGAGAGGGTCCTGTCTCCTCAGGCATCCTGTCCATAGGGTGAGAGAGGATGGTGAGCCCGGGGCTGAGGCCCTGAAAGCGCCCTCTTCCAGATGTCCTGGCTGGGGCAAGACAGCGGGGTGGGGGTCCCCTTCTTCCCTCTCACTCACTCAGGGCACAGATGCAGGCCCTGCCCCTTGGAGCCCAGAGGACACTGGTTTCGAACAGAACCTGCACTGAAGTGTGGGCAGTAAGGGCTGAGGGGTGGGGAGGCCACAGGGCTTCAGTGTGCAGGCTGAACTCGGCAGGACCTGGGGGTCTGGGAAGAGGCTCTAAGACCAGTCACTGCTGAGAGGGTGTTGGGGGCCTGTTGACTGCTATGCCACTGGCCTCCTGTGTACATGGAGAGCCAGGCCCACCAAGGTCTGTTGTCCCCTCCCCCCACGACAGCTTGGCCCGACCCCTTTTAGGAAAGGGGTTCCTCTCTTGCTGTGCTCATAGGCAGACAGAGAAGGCTGACCCTGAGGGACACAGAGCCACTGCTGTTTTCAGAAGAATGGAGGCCTGAGGACTTCCTGGAGGAAGTGACATGTAAGCCAAACCAGCAGAGTCAGGGAAGTGGGGCAAGGGCAGGGCATGGGGCCTGACAGGCAGAAGGAAGGCACAGCCAGCTTGAACTTTGTCCTCAGGGCTGAGGGAGCCTTGGAGGGACTTTCCGCAGGGACACGGCATGGCTAGCTCAGTGACCATGGAATGCTACTCTCTGGGAAGAGGGGAGGGTGAGTGAACTGGGAGAGACTGGGACAGGGAGCACAGAGAAGAGGCTGTGCCAGGTCCAGGGTCTGAGCCAGGCCTCAGCTCCAGTACTGCCCCACCCGCCCCATTACTCTCACCTGCAGGGAAGGAGGTGAGAGGGTCCTGTCTCCTCAGGCATCCTGTCCATAGGGTGAGAGAGGATGGTGAGCCCGGGGCTGAGGCCCTGAAAGCCGCCCTCTTCCAGATGTCCTGGCTGGGGCAAGACAGCGGGGTGGGGGTCCCCTTCTTCCCTCTCACTCACTCAGGGCACAGATGCAGGCTCTGCCCCTTGGAGCCCAGAGGACACTGATTTCGAACAGAACCTGCACTGAAGTGTGGGCAGTAAGGGCTGAGGGGTGGGGAGGCCACAGGGCTTCAGTGTGCAGGCTGAACTCGGCAGGACCTGGGGGTCTGGGAAGAGGCTCTAAGACCAGTCACTGCTGAGAGGGCAGGAGCACTGGAGGCCTCTGCCCAGCCGTGCGCCCAGCTGGTACTAGTACTAGCATTGCCTCAGAGGGGCCCAGAAGGGCATGCAAAGGTTTGGGGCAGGAGCCCCTTCCTCCCTCACTTGCCCTGCTCCCTGGGAAGGATTGTCTCCTCTTCTTCTAGTTAGTGGCCCTGGGAGGCCTGAGGGCCATGCTGCTCCCTAGCTCAAAGCCTGCCCTTCTTGGATGAAGTCCAAACTCCTTGACATGGTTACTCAAGTCCCCTTTGCAGCCTCTGCCTCACTTCCACAACCTCCAGTTGGAGCAGCCCTCACTCTGAGGTTCCCTGGTAGCTCAGCTGGTAAAGAATCGGCCTGCAATGCAGGAGACCCTGGTTCTACTCCTGGGTCAGGAAGATCCTCTGGAGATGGGATAGGCTACCCACTCCAATATTCTTGGGCTTCCCTAGTGGTTCAGATGGTAAAGAATCCACCTGCAATGTGGGAGACCTGGGTTCAATCCCTGAGTGGGAACATCCCCTGGAGGAGGGCATGGCAACTCACTCTAGTATTCTTGCTTGGAGAATCCCCATGGACAGAGGAGCCTGGCGGGCTACAGTCCATGGGGTCCCAGAGTTGGACACTGCTAAGCACACAGTACAACTCTTTAAGAGCTCCCTCCCACTGCTGGGAACTCTTATCCTCCACAGCTCTCCCCTCCCAAGGCTGGGCCACCTGGGTCCCAGATATCTTACTAGTTGGTTTGTGCCTACACTGTGTGGGTGCTGACTTTAGGGAAATAAAATGGGAAATTCACTCACAAGTCTTGTGACTCTTTTCTGCGGACATAATTAATTGGGGGTGGGGGTTTGGGGAACCCTTCAGTCTCTTCTGGGCCCTGCAAGCCTCTCCAGTGTCAACCTGCACCATTATCTTTGATCTCTCTATGCTGGCCACATTGACCTTCTTTCCATCTGCATACATCCTTTCAGCCCCGGGGCCTTTGCACCTGCTATTAGTGTGTCTGGAATTCTCATACATTCCTCCTATACATAGATAACACCTACTCATCTCTGTCCCAGAAAAACCTTCTTTGACCTCTCTGATTAGGTCAAATGCTCCTTTAGGAAGTGCCCTTACATTGTGTCTTTTCCTGTGTGGACAAGTCACAGTGTATCTTTACTGTGTGATTACTATGTCAGTCTCCCTCCCCCTCATGCAAGAGCTTGGCAGAGGGAAGGACCCTGTCTGGTTCTGCCCAACCTTGCCTTCTCCAGCCCCCAGCACATTGCCTAGGGTCCTGCAAATTCTCAGCAAATATTTCATGAGCCAACGGGTGGGTGAAAGGGTGGATAGTCCCAGGCAGCAGTTCTTGGCTGAGCATGTCAGTGATTCCCTCTAGAAGTGACTCCTAGAGAAACTCAAAGGTTTTGTCCAAGGAACTGAGGGGACTGACTGTCGTGTGCCATGTGTTTACCCAGGGCTGTCTCTTTTTTTTTCCAGGGCTGTCTCTCTCTTTTTTTTTTTTTCCAGGGCTGTCTCTATAAAAAATCTAGTTCCTCCTTCTCCCTCCTCTCCATTTCCGGGCCACAGATTCAGCCCCAGCCTAACAGTAATGCTCAACTCTGTAACAGCTGCTTTCATATTCCGGGCTCCACCCTTAGACTGTCACTGTCTCCGCAGGGGGGTGCCGCCTCTAGAAGTCACTGCATCATCTCCTTCGGGAGGCTAGACGTCTAGTCACGTTAAAGAAGGGCTCATTGACTCTGGGTAAGGCAACCATGGGCTCCGTGGGAGGAAGAAGCCCGTGTCAGGTTACAAAATCAGCTCCTACACACTGCGCACGGCTCTGATCCTTCAATGCCCAGGCCTTCAACAACGGTTTCGCAGGGCTTCCCGAACTTAGAGGAAAGAGGGCACTTCCCGAGCCACCCAACTGAGAAGTAGCGGTGAGAGAACTCAACCCCGATGGCTCCAGAACCCAGGATTCTAGCCAGCTGGTTCTCATAAATCGGTACCCTTCTGACGTTTTCGTAGCAACAACAACTTCCCTGCAGATGAGGAGAAGCCGGAAGACTATTCCCATTCGCCACAATAGGAAGCTGAACTCAGCGAGGAGCTACGGGGGCAGATGGCAAGCCTGCGAGGATACTAACCCCCTAGAGCCGGAGCCAGATCCGCCCCCTCCCCCGGCGCTTGCGCACTGCCGCCCTATTACCGGCTTAACCCCGCCCCCATCGCCGGGGTTTTCAAATTTGAAACCTGCTCCTTTTCCCGCCCGAACGTGTTGACCAGCGGCGGGAGAGGGCGGAGCCGCGCTCAGCCAATAGTGCCTCCGAGGGCCTAGTGCTCCGCCCACAAGGTGACGTCAGCAAGCCACAAGCTGCAGAGAGCAAATGGGCGAGGGCGTCCGCCGGCCCCGCCTCCGCGGCGCCCACGTGCAGCGGCGGAGCCCCGGGCCTAGGGTGGACCACCCGCCCCCAAAGCACCACTCAGCGTGCGGGCCTCTGGTCACCAGTACTGGGCTGGAGACTGAGGCCCAGAAACGCCAAGTGGTCGGTACGGGGTCGCTGAGCGAAGCGGCAAGACGCGGCACCCCCACTCCAGCCCGGGCGTTCGCCCGAGGGCCGGGCCTGCAGCCGACTTCGGTGGCAGCCCTGAGGGAGTTCTAGGGGGCGGGCAGGTGGGCGGAGGGTGGGCCGCGGTTCCCTGGCGCGTCCCAGAAGGGCGGGGCCAAGAGCTAGGCTGTCCCGGGGCGGGGCGTCTTGGGGGCGGGCCGGGAGCCTGTGTTTGTTGCCCCGTGTCAGTTACATTGTAACAAAAGTGGTGCTGCCGCTACTCGGGTCGGCACCCCAGGCCCACCTGCCTCCGGCTGTCGCCGACATGGAACCGGTGGCCAGCAACATCCAAGTCTTGCTGCAGGCGGCGGAGTTTCTGGAGCGCCGCGAGAGAGGTGAGGAAGAACCTTTGGTCGGACTCCAGGCGGCGACCTCGCTGACACTGGCCTGGGCTGGGCTTGACTCCGGACTTGAAGAATGCATGGCCTTGGGGCAGTAGTCCTGCGGCACCGCCGCGCTCAACTTAAGAGGGGCGGGCAGTGGGCTGGAAGGGTTGGGAAAATGGCCCTGTAGCCCAGAATCCCTTTCTGACGGTGTCGTGCCCGGGGCGCCTGCTGGGACTAGCCTGACGCTGGCGGGGACTCTCTCTGGCAGAGGCCGAGCATGGCTATGCGTCCCTGTGCCCGCACCGGAGTCCAGGTCCAGTCCACAGGAGGAGGAAGCGGTCTCCCCAAGCTCCTGGCGCGCTGGACAGTGGGCGGTGAGGAGGGCCGGGGGCAGCGGGGAGTAGGGGGATGGGCGCCGTCCTTCATCGGGTCTCTCCACTGCCCACTTCCTCCTTGTTGCTTGCATCCTCTGGGCCAAGTACCTTGCTCTGGAGACATACGGACTCCTGCCGTTTCTCCATCCTCCGAACACACACTCTTCGTTCAAGGACTATTTCTCAAGCACCTCTGATGTGTTTGGAACTGTGAATAATAGTTCTGGGTCCTGCTTCCACTCACACTCCTAAAACAATCCACTTGCTTTCCTTCACAGGCATTCTCTTTTCTCTCCTCTCAACCCTTTGCACACGCGTTCCCCCTCAATTTGAATGCCTCTCCTCCCACTACTCATTTTGGGTAACTTGTGTGGCTGGGCTCAGCTCAAATGTCACTTGTGTTCAGGAAGCCCTTCCTGATTGTGGCTAGGGGACACATTTGGATCCCACATCACCTGGGCAGACCTCTCTCAGCATGTGACCTCCTTACTGTCTCTGCCTCTGCCTGGCACTCAGCTGTCTGAGGCCAGCACAAGGTCCCCACAGTGGGTTAGTTTGGGGCACACATCTGTAGTGAGTTTTGAGCCCCTGGGGACTCTGGGACTGAGGGTGTGGACAGTAACTGACACTCCCTTTCCTCATCCTCTCCGGCATTGGCAGGTCTGTGCACAACGAGCTGGAGAAGCGCAGGTGAGTCCCAGCCCTGCCCTGAGAGCACCAGTCCCCAGGAACAGCCTCCCTCTGGCCTTCCCTCCCCTGTCATCCCTCGTCTGGCCAGCGGGCCTGGGCTGGCACTGCCCTCTAGACCCCTCCCTCTGCAGGAGGGCCCAGCTGAAGCGGTGCCTGGAGCAGCTGAAGCAGCAGATGCCCCTGGGGGCTGACTGTGTCCGATACACCACACTGAGCCTTCTGCGCAGGGCCAGAATGCACATCCAGGTAAGACACTCCCCTGGGACCCGGGGCCAGCTTGCCAGGATGCTGGGAGAAGCGCAGTAGGGAGAGACTGGGAGGAACTAGGAGAGAAGTCTCATGTCACAGACCAACTGTGTGACATTGGGCTCTGTGCTTTTAGTTTCCAAGTTTAAGTAGGAAGAAAAGCAGGAAGTAACCCAAGAGGATTGTTCTGAGGCTTTAAGCAAGTTTTCCCAATAAATGTTCACTTGTTATTACAACGATTATTACTTGAATCCCAACTGTGAGACCTGGAGCGAATTAGGTAGCCTCTCTGGACTTCATTTCCTCCTCCGTATGGGGGACATACTGTGATGGGTCACTATACGGGTCCCTCAGACTGGAGAGGGCTGTTATTCACTCCTCCTCTCCTGCATCCTCAAGGCCCCCTGTTCTGACGGGCCTGTCCTGCTTTGGGAGGCAGGTCCAGAGGCCAGAAGGGGGAAAGGGCCGAGAGGACTGCAGTGACCCTTCCTTACCGGGCTCCCCTCAGCGCCCCCTGGTGGATGGGAGTGGAATGTGCTGACTCAAGACGAGGCATCATCACAGAGTGGGGGCGCTTAGAAGCGACTTGGAAACAATGGAGGCCTTTTCCTGCCCTCCTGGTCCTTTTTGACAGAGGAAGAATAGGGCGTACAGCCGGCTGATGAGAGCCAGATTCAGAACTGAGGCCTGTGTCTCTTGACTTGCATTCTTTTCCGCAACAAGTGAGCATCTGCTCTGCCTGTTGCGGGCACAGGCAGCTGTGGCAGAGATGGCCGGAGGTGGCTCGCAGCAAATAAAATGGTGTGGAAACTGTTAGCACTGTCCTCACCGTGCCTTATGGTTGAATAACACCCTGGTTGGAAAGTGGGCTCCAGTGTCTCACGTGGAGTTTGCCTGATGGTTCTCAGAGGGATGTGTGTCTTGGGTGCTGGCTGTCCCATGGGCAGGACCTAGGGATTGCTCCTTCCTGGACTCCCTGCTTCCTGTTTTGCCTCTACCTGGCTGTCCTCCCCACCTTGCCCTGGAATGTTCTTTGCTGCTCATAGATCTGTCCAGGTCTGTCCCCTGCTGAAAACCTTCCATGGTTTGACAGGACAGCTTCAGTTTCTTACTTCCAGTGAAACTCAAGGCCCTTCACAACACAGGCCTTGCCACTGGTCTCATCTTGCCCCGTGTCCCACTAAAAAGCTGAGCTCTCCATACTCTTCCCGTTTTCAGTCTGCCTGGATGTTTCCTCCTCCATCCTTACCTGGGTAGTGCTTATTCATCCATCTACAGCCAGTTCAAATACCTCCTCATCCAGTTCTCCCCTTCTTGTTGATTGAATGCATGCTTTTGCCCACTGAGGGCCTGATTGGAGAACCCTTGGCCCTCCAGTCCCTGGATCTCAGGGCTGGCAGAGTTTGCGTGGAGGTGGCAGGTGGGGACTAATACTGAAGCCTTGTGGTTCCTGGGAGGGTCTTGAGGAGTTACAAACTGGTAGCCTTTGTTTAATCTCTTGTCGTTTAGTTGCTCAGTCATGTCAGACTCTTTGCAACCTCATGGACTGTAGCCTGCCAGGCTGCTCTGCCCATGGGGTTTCCCAGGCAAGAACACTGGGGTGGGTTGCCATTTCCTTCTCCAAGGGATCGTCCCTACTTAAGAATCGAATCCACGTCTTCTATTGACAGGTGGATTCGTAGCTTTCTAAAAATAGTAGATGCAGGTTCAATCTCTGTCAGGGAATGAAAATCCCACAGGCTTTGTGGCGTGGCCAAAACAAAAACAAGCCCTAGGAGATCTGGCAACACTGGGCTTGTTTCCACGTGGCAGTAATTGGCCTGGGACACCTCCTCCGAGCCTTAGTGTGTGCACGTGCTGGTGTGCCCCAGTCCCTCTCCAGTCTCCATCCCGATACCAGCACACTCCGCTCCTTCACGTCACTTGAGAGCCCTGAGGGCCTTGGAGATTGTGTGGCCCTCCCTCCCAACCGTGCAGACAGAACTCCCAGGCCATTTACGTGAGGCAGGAGGGCAGCAGGCCCCGGCTTCCTGCAGGATGTGGGAGCAGCCCTCTGGCACCTACATCTAGTGAGCCTGTCACATGACCGGTCTGCCGTCGAGTGGTGCCTGAGCCCAGCCCCTTGCTCCCCTGGATTTGCAGAAGCTGGAGGAGCAGGAGCAGCGGGCCCGGCAGCTCAAGGAGAAGCTGCGCAGCAAGCAGCAGAGCCTGCGGCAGCAGCTGGAGCATCTCCGGGGGCTGGGCGTGGCGGGCGAGCGGGAGCGGCTGCGGGCGGACAGCCTGGACTCCTCGGGCCTCTCCTCCGAGCGCTCGGACTCAGACCAAGGTAAGTGCCCTGGAGTGGAGGGCTCGGCTGGGGCGAGTGGGCCAGGTCTTCTCCTGACTGGCCCTCTCCTTGTGCAGAGGAGCTGGAGGTGGATGTGGAGAGCCTGGTGTTCGGAGGTGAGGCTGAGCTGCTGCGGGGCTTCAGCACAGGCCAGGAGCACAGCTACTCACACAGCGGCCGTGCCTGGCTATGACCCTCACCACCCAGAGCGGCCTCTGCCCTCAGCCCACTCTGCGCCGTCAGGACAGAGCCCTCACCGAGCCTCCAGGGCTGCTTGGAGTCACTGTTGGAATGGACTAAAAGGACCCTGTGTGGGAACAGGTGCTCCTCGTACCCTGCTGCTGGCGGCTGGCAGTCCCACCTGGGAGAGCGGTGTTGAGCCCCCCTGAGCCCTGCAGGGCAGGCAGCTTGGGCCCAGGCCACCCTCCCGGGCATTTTTTTATAGCACTTGGCCCAGATGTCCATGGCAGCAGGAAGCCTCTTGGGCCCTCATGTTCCTTCCTAAACAAGGGCCCCTGGCCTTTGCCCTATGCATACTGTATTTTCATTAAAAGCCTCTTTCTTAACTTCCTGTCCATGGTCTTGCCTGATGAAAATGTGGGAACTTCCAGCCACAAACTGGAAAAGAAGAAATGAGATTTACGGCCACCACAAACCCTCCTGACCACACTGGGCAGAGACCCTTTACTCCCCACAGCCTGGAGGTCATCTGTCCACACTTCAAGTGTGGAACCAAGGCCGAGTGACGTGACCGGCCTGAGGGCCAAAGCCAGAAAACCAGTGGGGTCAAGATTCAAGCTTCCTGACTCCAGAGTAGGGTCCAGTTGAATTCAACAAGTATTTATTGAGTGCCTGTTACACGTAAGATTTTGTTTCAGATACTTGGGACACATCAGAGGATAAAACAACGGTCCCTGCCCTCATGGAGCTCACAGTCTAGCATTTACGACCACTTCACCTGGATGCAGTGACCCTGGATAAGTCACTGCCTCTGTCCTCGGCCACCCGATGCAGGAGTGAGGAGGCCCAGCTCAGACACGGGGAACGGGCTGGCTGTGCTGGAGATGCCAAACAGGGCCCCTGCCCTCAGCCCACCACCCAGACAGTCGAGAGGGCTAGAAGCTGGCTTTTAATGATAAAGTACAGGAGGCGGGGGCACGGACTGGCGCCGGTAGTCTGCTAGGCTGCTGCCTCGGGGCCTGGGCCGGCTACACGAACTGCTGCTGCTGCTGCTGCTTCTTCGTGGCTGCCTTGCTGGCAAGGTCCTTGGCCTTCTCCGTAGCTGCCAGTGCCGTCTCCTTGGCCTTCTCCTTGGCTTCCTTGGCTGTTTCAACAAGGGTTTTGGGAGGGGCCTCACCTGGAGCAAAGGGTGGGAGGCTGGTTTTAGAGAATGCCAAGAAAACTGACCTAAATGACTTCCCAGGACATTTATCTCCTGGGGGCCAGGCTCTGAAGAAAATACTCAGTGTACAGATGAGTTGAGGGTGGGCTCAGAGTAGGCTCTGGCCCAAGCACAGCAGGTAGGACTTGAAACCTCTGTGTCTCGAGCCCTCACCTTGCAGCTTGGCCAAGATGTATTCAAAACCCTTCATAGTCTTGGTCACGTTGCTTTTGAACCGCGCGAGACCAAATTCCTGGCAAAAAATGACAAAGGGAAGGATTCAGAGTTGCCCAGGGAACCCTAGCCCAGACTCGATGATAAATGGCTTGGGCCCCGGCACTCCGACGCTGCTCACCTGGACAGCTCTGGAGACGCCAAATAAGCTAGAGGAGACCCAGGCTTCCCGGCGGATTTCGGTCCAGCCGCTGTTATCAGAGTTCACACGGTAAACACATCGTTCCTCCACCACCTGTGCAGGCAGGCAAGTCAACCACCATCACATGGGAGTCCTTCACTTGGCCAACTTACACATCAGTTTGATTCCCTGCCTCGTTTCATGAGGAAAAGCATTCTTTCCCTTACCTTACTGGATTCTCAAATGGCACTTCAGAAAGAGAGTAGGAAGATGGAAAAAAAGTCATTTTGCTCTCTAAAAACCTCTCCTCTGACCCCCTCACACTAAAAGGCACATGAACTCTTGAGAGGTCTGTGGTGTTTTCAGCCTGCCTGCCAACCATTTTGGGCTTCCTCTGTGAATCAGATGGTAAAGAATCTGCCTGCAATGTGGGAGACCCAGGTTTGACCCCTGGGTCAGGAAGATCCTCTGGAGAAGGAAATGGCAACCCACTCCAGTATTCTTGCCTGGAGAATTTCAGGGCCAGAGGAGCATGGTGGGCTACAGTCTACCAGGTTGCAAAGAGACACACACAGTTCAATTCAGTTCAGTCGTGTCCGACTCTTTGCGACCCCATGGACTGCAGTACACCAGGCTTCCCTGTCCATCACCACTGAACAACTAACACTATGACCACCCACTTTGGCTCTTAAGCCGCCAGCAATCCAAAAACAGAAAAGGAAATCTGGCAATCACCACAGCTATCCTTATCAGGGAGGAAAGAGTGGACCTGTACTTCCCAGAGAAACACTTAAAAAGACACCTGTCACAGCTGAATTGAAAGGGAGGTCTCAGAGGTCTTATCTTAGTAATTTACAAAACACAGAGCTAGGGCCCTCAGATGACTCTGGGGCAAAGCATTAAGGTGACTCATTCTGTGACTTTGCAGCACACTTCCCCTCCCTGAACTTCACTATTCTCTTTGCGCAATAGAGTAAGACCCACTTCCCTGTGTTATTGTGATGATTAACTGAGAAAGAATAAAAGTGTCCTGAAGGCTTTCAAGGTACTCATAGATGAAGTGTTCCTTAAACTATTAATAAACCATGGGTTTTCAAGTCTTTTTTTTTTTTTAAGCAAGAAATCAAAGGTATGTAGAACTTCCCTTTCCTTGCCCCGAAATCTCAGGCAGAAATCCATTACATTAGACAGATAGTCAAAGGGGCGGGGGCAGTCCTCTCCCCTCTGAGGTACATCCAAGGTACTCTGGAGACTTGATGTTTGAAAACCACCGTCTCCTTCCCTCAGCATCATGCCTGTGGCCCAACCTATACTCGTGCCAGGCAGTGTGAGTGCCCTGCATTTAGTACTTACAAGTGGAAAACAGGTACTCCTCCGCTGTATGAACGAGTTAGAAGACAGGCCTAGAGAAGATAACCGGCTAAAAAGACCACCCGAGTTTGTACTCTAGAGTTACCACTCCTCAGATCTGCTTGAATCCTAGAAGCCCTCTCATGGTTCCCTAGCCACAGGTATCTGGAGCGCTCTAGTTTGGAGGGGGAAGGGGGAGGGGCCTCACCATCAGCCGGGCGTGGTTGATGTTCCAGGTGAAGGTGGTCATGGTCTGGTTTTGTGGGTCCACAATAGAATCCTCCAGGATGTACACTGAGTGAGCAACATTGGCAGGGAACAGTCGCTCAGCCCAGCGGGGCATCCTGTTCGTCTTGGTCAGGAGTCGTCAGGACAGGAGCTTCTGGTCAGAGGTCACCTCTCGGTGCACTATGTCTTCCGTCAAGACATGTTTGCTATAGGGATTCGGGTACCGCTGCCAGAAGGCAGCGAACACTTGGTCCCAGGAACTCCGGAGCACGCTCTGGCCCAGGAAATACTTCACCATCGTCCCGGCCGGGGCGGGCTCAGCGCCCGAGCAGCATCAGGGGTGCGGAGCCCGAGGGGCACGCGGAAGCCGGGCTGGAGCTCGACGCTCGGCCGCTAGGCTAGCAGCAGATCAGTCGCTGCAGCGCCGCACCCAACCAGCCGCCGNTTCCCCTTACCCACCCCCCCCAACCCTTTCCCTTCCCCGCCCCCGCCACCGCTGGAGTCGCGGCGCTGCAGGCCGGAGCTGGGTTGGAGGAGCACCCTGGCTCGGTGGGGAATCTGTGCCGGCGGGCCTCTAAGCTAGGTGGGCGAGCAAGCGAAAGAGCGAGCTAGCAAGTCGGGCGGCGGCGTGCGGCGCCGTTAAGGGCGCTGCCCCGCGCGCTCCCAGGCCGCCCCGGGTCCCGGGCTCTTAGAAGGAGGATAATTCCTGGGCCCGAAAAGCGGGGGCGGACGGAGGCGTTGTCGTCGCTCAAGCTCGTCGCGGCGTGTGGAACCTTAGGTTGGCGCCTGGGGTTGGGGACTGAGGCTAAGGGCGCTGCCTGTCAGAGCGGAGAGCCGGGTTTGCCTCGCGCCCCCGCTCAGGACCCTGACGCGGGTGAGGCGGCCCCGGGAGCATGAGCGGGCAGCGCGTGGACGTCAAGGTGGTGATGTTGGGCAAGGAGTACGTGGGCAAGACGAGCCTGGTGGAGCGATACGTGCACGACCGCTTCCTGGTGGGGCCTTATCAGAATGTGAGTGTGCCCGGCAGGGCCCAGCACGGCTGGGAGGGGGCTAGCCGACACGCGAGGCTCTGATCGCTTCCCCTTGGTTGCAGACCATAGGGGCCGCCTTCGTAGCCAAGGTGATGTCCGTCGGAGACCGGACGGTGACTTTGGGTATTTGGGTGAGTTCTCTGGGCACGTAATCTGGGAAAACCCATTCTTGAGGAGGCGTAGGTCCTTGCCTTTTACTGATTTGTGGGCTCACGAAGGTTTCTGTTCTCTAGACCCCAATTTAAAAACAGGGGTCTGGAGGACGTGGTATTAGTTTGTGGGGAGTATAGCTTCGTAACCCAGGCCAGGGCTGAGCCTCCCCCTGCCCTTCAGGACACAGCAGGCTCTGAGCGCTATGAGGCCATGAGCCGAATCTACTATCGGGGCGCCAAGGCTGCCATCGTCTGCTATGGTAAGAAGGGTTTTGGCCTGTTCCTCAAACAAGAAGGGGAGGGTACCAGGCTGGCCTTATAGAACAGCCCCTAACCCTTGCTTGTTTCCTGTATTCCACACCAAGACCTGACGGACAGCAGCAGCTTTGAACGGGCAAAGTTCTGGGTGAAGGAGCTGCGCAACCTAGAGGAGGTAGGTGGCCTGACCTCACCAGAAGACCAGGCAGGGGCTGGGGGTCTGGTGGCCCAAGGGAGGTGACCCTGGCCTTGTCTTCTGGTCCAGGGCTGTCAGATCTACTTGTGTGGCACCAAGAGTGACCTGCTGGAGGAGGACAGGCGGAGGCGACGGGTGGACTTCCACGACGTTCAGGACTATGCAGACAGTAGCTGCTCCTTAGCTCCTTGGGTTGGGGGTGGGGAGGGGAGGAAAGTGGCTGCTTGGGTGGGTCACAGAAAATGGGGGCTGCTTTGGCAAGATCCTCCACAGGAAGACTGTCTCTGCCTCTGCGCATCTGTGGGGTTCGGAAGAGTCCCTGTACTGCTAGTCTGTGCCCACCTAATTCTCAAGTATGAGGCTTTAGTCATTTCTCTTTACAGATATCAAAGCTCAGCTCTTTGAAACATCCAGCAAGACAGGCCAGAGTGTGGGTGAGTGCTGTCCTTGCCCTCACAGCAGAACACATAGGGGCAACAAAGGAGGCAGAGAAAAGCCCAGAGGACTGGGTTACTATGTGATCCCTGGGTTCCTAGCGTCTGGTTCTCACTGATTGCCCTTTTTCCTGCCAGACGAGCTCTTCCAGAAAGTGGCAGAGGATTACGTCAGTGTGGCCGCCTTCCAGGTGATGACAGGTGTGTTTTTCCTTAGCTCCTGTGGAGACTCCCTTTAGGCCCACAGCACCTGACTCCCCCCACCCCACAACAGTATGTTGAGCTACCACCTCTCTCTTTGACAGAGGACAAGGGCGTGGACCTGGGCCAGAAGGCAAACCCCTACTTCTACAGCTGTTGTCATCACTGAGTCACCACTCACTTGGCCTGGGGGGGGATCCCCCCAGGAAGGCTGGACCTAGCTCTTGTCTGGGCTTGGATGATCGAACATCTGAGCTCCCTGGGTTCCCGTGGCAGCAGAGGTGGCACCTGCCTGTGCTGGCCCATGGAACGGAGACAGCATTGGGGCTGACTGATGGGCACAAAGAGGGTAAGGGCTGATTTGGACCCCGGGCTTCTGCCCTGGACAACAGTTGTGTCTACAGATTATTTAAATGGCTTCTGATTTGTAAATAAAATCAATGCACTGTGAATTACACTCAACCCCTTTCCCTGCTGTCTGGATTGGGTGTCAGGACACCTAGGACTTTCTGGGGCCACCTGATTGGCCTTACTTCCTATAATCAGGGTTCTTCTCAGGTCTTATTTTCCTTCGGAAACCAAGCGGCTTCACCCTAGGGTTGCTGTTAAGATAATAGAGAAGCAAAAGGGCCCTTTGCTGCGTTCTTTAGCGGGGGCAGAGATAGGGTGAAAAGCTGGGGTTGGGGCAGTGCAAAGCTCACATGGTTCCTTCTTGGTGTTAAGAACTTGAAAGGCACTCAGGTGGTATCCAGAGATCAAAGGGTCAAGCATTTCTACCTCAGACTGGCTGGCTCTACTGCACCTCTGTCACGTCGAGGTCTGTGAGTCATCCTTGTGGCTCAGAGCCTAAGCTTCCCAGCAACATGCTATAATGTGGCTTAATAGGAGACAAATTACAGGTTCTGCAAGACTTAGAAAGGTCTTAGAGATCCAGATTGGGCTCTAACTCAGCTACCCAGAAAAGGGATTCAAACTTGGCTGTGTTCTTCTTTTAAAATGAGGTGACTAGTACCTAGTTCAAGACTGAAGAGTATGGTTGAAATGTTAACTGTAGAACTAAATGCTTGTCCCCTATTCTTCCCTGGGGCAGGAAGTTCAGGACGAAGTCACAAAGGGAAGTGATTTCCAGGGTTAGCGGAAAGTATTATTTTTGGGCCTTAGATGTCTTCAGAAGAACCAGATGTTACTGTACACAGGACTGACCTTTCCTTTTCACAAGGAAGCATACAGCAGCCCTCCCTTTCTGGTGTGGGATGCTCAGCCTCTGCTTCACTATCCCATTTTAGGCCTGGGCTGGGTCTTCTGCAGTGCTCAGCACCTGCCTCTAAAAAAATAAAAACTTGGCCAAGATGGCTAGACTCATAATCAGAAAAGTGCTTTGGTTCCAGTTCCTTTTTAAAAACCAATTCCTCAAAACACCCTTCCTTTGCGTGGGTGATGAAGGCCTCCTGGGTAGGGACTGAGACCGACAGCAGTCCCGAAAGCAGCAGACATTCTGACAGCAGTGGCTGCTGGGAGGAAACCCACACCACTTCCATGAGGTGCTTGGAGGAAGGGCTCAGCTGTGTCCCCATCTGGGAACCACCTCAGTCTGGCTTCTGCTCTCAAGCCACACCCATCCTCCCTCCTGTTAGGCTCTATCTCCCCACGGACAACAAAACAAAACACAGGGCAAGGGCCATAAGAGTAAAGTTAAACTTTACTTTACAGTAATTTTTTTTCTATATACAAAGAATTACAGTACATGTTTATGGGGACTCCTAGCACAGGCTCCCCTCTGTTTCACTAAGAGTTTCACTTACCGCTGACAATCTATGGGGGTGAAGGGGGGCAAAAAAAGTGATGGACCTCAGCTGACACCCCCTTTTGCCCCTTAAAAATATAAAGATAGATCTCTTTGTCAGCTTGTTTTTTTGCCAAGACTTAGAAAGCTGCTCTTCCATGAGCTCCCGTGTGCTGCGCTTGCCCAACACTCGCCTACATGCACACAGGCAGCACGCGTCTCAGACCTGGAGACTGCCTTTCTCTGCCCCGACCCTGCAAGTCTAAAGCACCAGAACCGATCATTTCTGCTCCTGCTCCCTGGGCTCACCTCTTATCTGCAAAAGTTTGCTGGATTTCCAAGGTGTTATACCTGAAGCCCCTAAAGAGCCTGATGTTTTGAGAGTCATGGGAAAGTAGCTCTAGAAAAGGGACCACATGTGCTATTTTTGCTTATGTTGATAGGAAACGTTTCTGCCCAGGCTGTGGATTTCTAATTAAAATAAACTCTTTCCACTTCCTTAAGAAATAATATCCTTAGTCTTCATAAGCAATAGAGGTGCTCCCATGAGAGTGAAGAGGTAGAGGGGCAGAAGGCATCTGAGGGAGATCCCACACCTGGAGCTCTCTACCAGCCTGTTCAGGCGGTGTGGACGGAGGCTGTGGACAAGGTAACACCAGCCCTGAGAAACTCAAAGAACTCTCTCATCTGCAAACAGCGTGTCTTCCACTTCTGGACTGCACTGGATCACCCCAGGGTCGGGTGCAGGACTCACCAAAGCTCTACCTTCTCTTCTTCTAACAGAACCTCGAGGGAACTAAGACATGAGATCTCTTGCTCCCAAACAGGAATCTAGGTTTCTCAAGTCACCAGTCCTTCAACCCTTGGCAGTGCTTATTTTTACCAGGAAATTAGCACCATCATTACATTTTTGTGTGTGTACAAAGCAAATTACCTATTCTTTTTTCAATTTACACTATAGCAACCTCTGGCCCTGCTACGCTAGCCCTAGGAAGCTCAGCTGCGAGCTAACGGGCCACAGTCAATGAAAGTCTCATGCAGCAGCTACTGAGCTCTAAATGATTTGGAATGTCGAACACATGATACAGCCCAGTCATTATTCAGGAGGAATAGGGGCTTGTCCCACCTCCTTTCCTGCCATGATCTCAGAGAGGTGAGGACACTGAGCTAACTCTGACCTGGTTGACAGATACCAAGAGGATGAAGATATCCCCTCAGAAAGCCTTGGAGAAAACCCACTTTTTATAGGAGCTGATGCAAAAAATAAAATCCATCCACGTTTAGTGCTCTCCTGATTCTTCTCCACAGGGGAAGCTGCCAGGACCAACTTCCTTCCTGCCACTCTGTTCTCATGAGGCAACGTGCGAGTCCAGCTCCAGTGAGTAGATGCTGCCAAGCCTGGAAAAGGATCGCTGATGCACTTCATGCCCTGACTGTAGTGTGGGGTGGAGAATGTAAAGAAAAAAACAATTATTTATATCAATGCTAAAGATGTAGATTTGGGAGTTGTTCAGAAGAGGATCAACACAGTGATTTGAATCACTTCAAACTCAATAACTTCAGGGGGAAGCAGACATTAAAAAAAACTTAAATGCTGTTGTAGCAACATCTGTTTTGCTATGAGAATGGGTTTGCTCCAGTAGAGAAGCAAATGAGGCTTTGAATAAAAATTTCAACAGTTTTCATAATTTTCTTCTGAATAGGGCTAAGGGAGGTATTAGTTCTCCAGGTACTTGTGGAAGCTATGGCTTCCTCCTCAGAAAGGCTTCCTGGGGAACCAGCTTAGAGACAGACTCTTGAGATCCTGATTTATAAGTATTTGGCCAAATGCCAAAATACCACCTTACGTAAAGATCAGGAGTTTCTAAGATTAAAGCTTTCCTGTTAATTGCCAATTCACACTCCCTGGAGAAAAGGTCTCCGCATAGGCTTCAGGAAAGTCCCCAAAGGCCAGCAAGGTCAACACCCTCCTTTCATGCAAGAGTCTCTCTTTCCAAAAGTCTAACCGACTCTGCTTCTAATTCTACAGTGACTGCTTTCACGATGTTAACAATCTAGTATCAAATACTATTAGTGGGCCTGAGCTGAATGTCTAGTTTCCAATCAATCTAAGAATCTTTCAATGGCCCTCACAAAACTCTGGCTGGCTGTCCATCCATTTAAAGGGCTACCCTGCCTCCCCCAAACCAAGCACAGTTCAGAAGTTGTTTACTAGGCAGGTCTGGAAGGAAGCTTCCAGTGAATGATGGAGAATGGAAAAAACTGAAAACCACAAAGTGGTCTACCTTTCCCTCACTCCTTCCTGTCCTGTGAGACTTATCTAGAGTGGCTGTCAAGTCAATTACCTACCAAAGCCTACATCAGAGAAGCTACTTCATGATCAAACTTCTCCTCTTAAAAATTTTACATAGCCTGCATACCCACCCCCCCAAAAAAATTCACAGTTTATTTCATGAAACAAAGAGCTACGGTAATTGAACACACAACATAGTGGAAAGAGGTTCTGACAGCGCAGTGCAGTTATCTTTTTCTGATCACGACTACAGATGACAGGAGAAAAAAGGGCACAGGACTGGCACCAAGCAAATCCTACTCATACCTAAGAGATTAGGGAAAGGGACCTACTAGCTGCAGTTATATACTTATTATTCTCACACATGATAAATACTTAATATAATGAACTTTAATGTTTTGGGTGAATTTCTTTAAAAATATCTTTTCCATGGTTTAAAATTTTTTAAAAGAAAATAAGATGCTTTGTTTTCTCTTCCTCTTAAACAAAGAGCTTTTCCTCTCTGATGATGTAGGAAGAGAGAGGATGAAAGGGGAGAACTTGGCAGGTGGAATTTACAGAGGAGAGTCTGAGGTCTAAGTGAGATGCAAGAATAGGCCCCTAAACTCAGGGCAGCTCTGCCCAGCCTCTTGTCTCTGCCTGAGTTCAAATGTCTCAACCCCAGAGACAGACTTTGGGAAATAAAAGCAAATTCTTTTTAAAATCTTTATATAAAGCGCAAATGCTTCTAAAACAACTATTGTTCCCTCCTTAGAAGTGACAGGAGTAACCTCAATAAAAACTCAGGAGGAAGAAATTGGGACAATACAGAATCCTGTTGAGGGTATAAAAGCCATAACTGAGACAGAAATGGCCAGGAGACATTGGGGCCAGGAGATGGCCTGTTGGCTAAAGCTGCTGGCTACATTGGCGAAGCAGAGGTAAACATGTTTGGTCTAGGGACGAGGGGGTGGGCGAATGGGAAGGAACTGGCCAAACAGTACTTCCTGTTGGCAGTCAGTGAGCTGGGTGAATGGTAGGGCGGGGTAGCACCAACAGATTTCCCAGCCCTTGGGCCCCAGCTCAGGGCAGCAGTAACAGATAATCAGCAGTTATGAGGAGTCATCTCTTAGGCTGGACATTGCTCTGTAAGCCCCATCTTGCCAGTCATAGGGGAGGGGTTCTGGCTTGCCCTTAGGCTAAGTCAGCAGGTAGGCGCTCTCAACACTGAGCACACCATTTCTCAGGGAGAGGGTGATAGGATCCACTAGTGAAGATGACGACTCCTCCGTTCAGGTAGGAGGGCAAGAGATCAGAAGATAAGTAATTTCTCACCAGGATCTGGCATTCTCCCTGAGCTGGTGGTGGATCTAGCCCAGAGTTTGCCAGAATCCCTAGATCTACTGCCCGAGACTCTGAAATCTGAAAGCACCTGAGTGTTTGGGGGACAGGCCTGGGGTGAGCTGATGTACAAGGAGGAAAGAAAGTTTGTAGAAAAGGAAGGTAAGCTTGCCAATTGCCTTCTTACACTGAGGGAAAGCTGTGTCCTCACAGAGCCCAGCCCCTCAACCAACTGCTCCACCAAGGACAGATCTCTGCAGAGCCCAGCCAGAAGCAGCACTGGCTGCCCAGTCACAGCCCTTGGCTTTGGTGCAGCCCCCTCCTGCCTATAGAGGAGACCTCTGCATGAGCTCACATGCATGCACACGCACACAGGGACAGCTGACCAGGAGACACTCAAGAACCACTTCTGGGGCCACAAAGGACATTCATTACAAAATGAGCCCAGAGCCCCAGGGCCCCTCAACTTCCTGTTATTTATTTCCTGGTCAAAGGTTCTTAAAAAACAACCTGAGAACCTAGGCAGGCATGTCAGGCTCACAGGGATCAGGTCTTATTTATCTCTGTATTTCATGCCAGTGACGAGTACCACACCTAACATACACAGATGTTCAAGAAATCACCACCGACTTGAACGGGTATTAGTTCCTCCCAAGGATTCATCAGGTACCCTCAGTGGGGCTTGGCAGGACTAGATAAAGAGCTTTGAGAGCCCTACTGCCTTCCAACCTGACCGGTGGAATTGAATCCCATGCTTGACTCCAGAGTGGACTTTTTATTTCAAGTTCACCATGAGTAAAGGTTGGGGGGAAAGAGACCCGCGTCTGTCTGTTTCCTTGGCTGGGGCCCACTTGGATTTCCATACATGGCTCACACAACCACAAGCCCCCCACTGGCTAATGTCACAAGAGTTTTGAATGTTGGGATATAAGGAAAGAATAACAGTGGAAAAGTGTTGGGGTCTGTTTTTTTTTAAGAGGGAAAAAGATTTTTCCCTTCCCCAAGAACCCTGGGGGCGGCTGGTCTGAGCACGTGGCATTTACTGGTGTTACTTCTGTTCTGACTCTGCACACTTGTGACTGGAAGGAGCCTGGTTAAGAGCTGGAAGCGTACTTTGCTCTGGTTTAGGGTCTTGCCCTCTTCCAAGAGACCAGCAAGTCTGTGCCAGTGTCTGTGTGCTCCCGGAGGACCAGCAAGACTGTGCCAGTGTCTGTCCGGCCACCATGGGCCAGAGCCCTGGCCCTGGTGAGGCCTTTCCTAGGGCCCAGGGGCTCTGCTCTGTGGTTGCCAGCTTCTTCTCTTCAGTGGAGAGGGAGGGCTTCCCGAGAGGCCTGAAGGACTGCCCACTCTTGGCAGCAAGTCCAGGTAGTTGCTGGCCTCCAGCCATCTGCTTCACCTGCTTCACCAGGCCTGGCGCTTGACTGGGAGGCCCTGGGGTCTGTTCAGCCCCTGCAGGTGCTCTTCCTGAGGCCTGAGTTGCTGGCTCATATAAAAAAGCCTTGGCAGGGGGCTGAGAAAGAAGTCTGGCCTGGGTAAGTGATTTAACAGCTTGCCAGGAGTGTTCTGAAGGGGCCACTGCTTTGCCCAGTGGCTGAAGGACAGCATCTGACACACTGCCTCTCTCAACAGCTCGTGGTATCTGTCCTAGACCTTTGCTGGCAGGCCATGAGCTCGACTCCAACACTGGCATCTTCTCATCAGCCTGTGGTGTGAGCTCATGGGGTGAACCTGCCCGTTCCTTCTGGCGAGGAGTGAGGTCTATGAGATCCATCACCAAAGCAGCTCTATTCTTTGACTGAGTATTCTGGTCCACGGGCCTCAGCGCTTTTTCTTTAGCTACCAGGGTCTGGACCACCGCTGACAGTACTTTGTCAGGAGGTGGGAGTCTCTGGGACAAAGAGACATGGGATTTGTCAGGGGGCCTGTCTGAAGTCTGGGGTTTGGGACCGCTGGTGACTAGCAGTTTCTCTGGCGGTGGAAGTCTCAGGCCAGTAGGGACTGGGGTTTTCTCCAGTGACTGGGGCCTTGGGCTGGCAGCACCTATGGATTTATCCAGCCTTGGGTCAGCTGTCCCCAGAGGTCTTTCCAGTGGCTGAGACCTGACTGAGGATGAGGAGCTTGGGCCGGTCACTGGAGAGGGTTTGTCAGATAGCTGGGGTCTTGGTCCTGCCACTACAGGTGGCCTGTCCAATGGCTTCTGGCTGGATACCAATGACTGGGGTTTGGTCCCTGACCCAGCAAGGTCCCTGACCCTATCTACAGGCTGCGGCCTGGAGTCAGTTCTGTCAGGAGGCCTTTCAGGCAGCGGGGGCCTCTGACAAGTCCCTGCCAGAGCTTTTTTGGACAGCGACAGCGACTGGTTGGTGTCAGCAGATGGCTTGTCCGATATCTTGGGCCCTTGAGCAGCCACTCCTGATGATTGCTCTGCCAGGTGAGTGCTTGGGCCTGGAGGCAGCGGTACTGGAGGAGGTACATACTCACGGATCTCCCCCGGCTCCAGAGGGTTGGGCCCACAGGGATCATGCTCAGTACAAGACAGACGCCCATCCAGTTTGGAGATGAAGAGCATCCCTTCCCGATGCTGCTTGCAGAAGGAGCTGGGACACATCTCACAGAAGGAGGCTGCTTCCTTTCCGCATATGTCACACTGATGCCAAGGACACTCCCATTTCCCTGAAAACACAGAAGTGAAACACAAACTAAGGAAAACAAAACATGCCTAAGATGGGCCACAGCTCTGGAACCAAGTCAAAGGAGTGAATGCAACCTGCTGCCTCCCTCAGAGAGCTCGTGCCCCTTGCCCACATCCCCTCCCTCAGGATCTAGGCTTTACTTTCTGCAAAATGTGTAAAAATAACAGCCAAATATTGTCACAACTAAGTATCAATTAAAAACCAAGCAGGAGTAAACAACAACGACGACTAAGGAGTAACCCTGATTTCTATGACTACTTCCAACAAGGAGAGAACAACAATAACAAAACAAAACAAAACCGACTTGGTTTTTAATTACTCGGGGCCATTGCTAACACAACCCGTGCCAGCAATGGCCCCGAGTAATTGCTTCTG